TGAAGGAAATTGAGTGGTCTGTGATTATAAAATTTCTGATCTGTAGTATATAGTGCAGTATAAATGATTGCTGGCTTATAGCTCACTTTATAGGTGCTCTATCATTGCTGCAGTATGATATGTTATTGGAGAGCTGATTGATCTGAGAGCAATCGCACATTAGCCTACATTGTGCTTTCTGTCCAGAGATAATTTTAATTACCCACAGACTCTGGAGCGAATGTGTGAAGGTTCTCCTTATAGTCTGCTATGTAGCAAACATCCTCCAGAGTTTCATTAGTTTGATCTTGGTCCCGTTTCCCTTGTTAGTGCACTTTGTGAGCAAAGCTGTGGTTTTGATGCTGAAAGGTCCAAAAGTCTGTTATGTCGGTGCTTTGTGGGCATTGCACACAGCAGAGAGATGGGATTGGGACTCATTGATTGAGACTTCTAATCTGTTCTTACTGCGAGGGTATCCTGGAGCCTAGCTGAAGTCTACTACTCTACCTGTGCTCAGGGCATCCTGTGTATCTGATCTGGGCCTCTTCCACAACACTGCCCTGCCTTCCACTGCATTGAATGGCGGAGCAGATGATGGCTCACATCAGTTCTGTAGGAATCGATCAGCCAGCCACAGCAGTCTATCTAGAAAGGAGAAAATACAGGGAACAGATCGCATGAGGACAGAAACAGGGGAAAGGAAACAAGGGAAATGACTGAAGGAAACAGAACAAAAGACGAAAGGAGAGAAAAAGGCCAGTCCTGCTGCAAGATGTGGTGTGCCTGTGGAGTGGCGCCTCACTCTGTGTGGAGGTGCAGAGGTTTGTTTGACTGTGGGCTCTGGGGGGGCGTGGTTAGCTGTGGGCTCTGGGGCGAGTCATTGGCTATTGGCTCTGGGGGGGAGTGGTTAGCTGTGGGCTCTGGGGCGAGTCATTGGCTATTGGCTCTGGGGGGGAGTGGTTAGCTGTGGGCTCTGTGGGGGGGCATGTTTACAGGAAGTGAAAGTAGGACAGAACTGATCCTCCCTTTCTCTCAGCTTCTCATCTCCTTTTTAAAGAAAAGACATTGTTTTAAAATTTCTAATTATCACGTTTTTTAATCAATGTCAAATCCCCTGATCATGAAAACTTTTCATTTGTACTTCAACTGAGTTAACAGTGCCATGCGCTCATGTGTAAGTGTGAGACTGTGGTAAATCTCTGGTCGTGTCCGGCTACTTGACCAGTCAGTGGGCATCAACTTTATCAGGCTGTGCTGGAATTACATTTGATGACTTAATTCCAGACTGTTAAATGAAACTGTCAGAGTTTTTTAACTGAAACATTTGCTTTTCATTAAAATATATTAAGGAACAAGTGTTCTTTACTTGTATGTGCATTTTCTTTGTGTTATAAAGTAGAAATCTTAATTATTTAAGGTTAATTTCCAAACCTCTGTGCTCTTGGGTTTCCTCATTTAGAAACACCAGTGTGTGGAACAGTTTGACAGGTTTACTTGCTACACTTTAAAGAACAGACTTTATGCAGACTTTATGCTAGCTTCCTCTAAGTTGCAGTAAAGTGAAGAGGAATGTTGCAGTAAAGCAACATTCCTCTTCACTTTGAAAACTAACCATGACCTTTTGGCATCTTTCACAACATCTCAAGTCACTTCACAATAAAAAAGCTCACACATCCACAGATAAGAGTGCTGCAATTTCTGCTGACGGTAACAGGAAACCCGCATCCCTGTTTACAGCGTGGTGTGGCAGGGACATCCTTCCGACAAGACCAGAGGTGCCCATCAGCATCTCCACCTGAGAGTGGCCATAGGGTACAAGCACAAGCCTTTCTGAGTTACTCCCACTGCCCCCTTTCTTCTTTTATTTCCAAGGAGAGAGACGCTTTTGTAAGAACAAGAGTTGGACTTCATGAGGTTGTGCTTCATCCCCACAAGTGTGTTCTTGATAGTGTTTGCCTCTGCTCCTTTATGCTGTAAAGCAGAATTGCTGGAGTGACAGATCTGTGATTTGTCTCGGTGTGTTATGTACAGCAGCTGAGGGAGAACATTGACTTTTCCAAACAAAAGCAAGCCATTCAGTTCTTCCCTGCTTCTTCACCTTCCTTAACCTTTACTTCAGCCAGTTCCCCCTCGGTACTCAAAATATGTTCTGGGCTCCCCTATCAAAAACTGTTGAAGCAATTTGTGTTTTTGATGATTTACCTTCTCAAAATATCTGGCTAATCTAGCACCCCTAGAAAGGGCATTTCACACCCCAGGTCACAACAAAAATCTCAACAAGCCCTTTCTTTCAAATGCTGCATACACTGGGCCTCCAGTATAGTAGATGACCTCTCCCACCCCTCTCATAACCTATTTGCCCTCCTACCATCTGGAAAAAGCTATCGCAGTATACAGGTTAGCTCAACCAGACTCTTTAACAGCTTCTTCCCTCAGGTTGTCAGGCTCCTCTACACCCTGGAATCTACTTGCACCGGCCCCAATTCCAGAAACAGGGTTTAAATCCCCCCAGTGTGTTGTGTACAGTATATTATATTATGTATTTACCTTGTAATTTGCACTGTCTGCACTTTGCACTATGTGTATCCTGTCTACAATGTCCATGTCAGTGTCCTGTCTGTTTTTGCACCGTGGACGAGGAGGAATGATATTTCTTTCCACTGTATACTTGTACTGTATATGACTGGAATGACACAAACGTGTACTTGAACTTGAGAGAAGATGGCTTTGGCACTGACCGTATGATGGGGTAGCTTATTCCTTGAATCACACCTGACATGCTGGCAGTAAAGGTCAGCTGGTGCTGTAAAAACAGGAGGTGCTTCCCGTGAAGACCTATCACGTCTTGGGCAGCAAAACGGAAAATTGGTACTTCGGGATGCGTGTGAAGAGCAGATCACGTGGCCTCAAAGCCTGAATGGTTCCTCAGCCTTGAGCCTGACCCGATTCGGCCTCTCTGCTCACAGTAACCAGGGTGGAGGAGAGTTCCAGGAAGAGTCCCGGCTTCAAATGTGGTTTAAAGTAGCCATGATGTGAACCAGTAAGACTGTGGCCTGGGAGTAAGTAAAAAGATAAAACGGGAGTTGTTTTTAAAAGAAACATGAGCTGGAGCAAAATTCAAAAGTAGGGTTGGCATTACAGGAGGTGTTGTACTGCAGAAGGGTCAATAAATCATTGCGTGCCCTCGCAGTAAGAGTGGATGTATCACAAATGCTTGGAAAGTAGGCAGAATTTAAGGTGTGAAGTTTTAATTAAATCGCTTTGTAGCTTTTCGTGCCTGGAGCTGTACTGTAGCACGCTGAATATGTGTGTTTGAGCCTGGGTTTGCCAAAAACCAGTTTCTCAGTACACTTTCACACCTCTGACATTCACAGGTGAGCTTGTTCCCCTGTTTTCTCTGTCCTCCATTCAGGTCATGGTGTTGAACTTCACTCTGCCTACATAGATGATATGTAAATATTTTAAATTAGTTAAATTATGTGCTGTTTCTGAGTCAAAAGTGTAAAAGGATGTGGTTTAATTAGTGACAAGGATTACTGTAAATCTGGTATCTTTCCACTTTCCTGTGGAACAAAGGTGGTATTTGCCTTGCTGTATTTAATTACAACCCTGGCTGTGAATTTGAGAAAAGCTTTACAAGTGTATAATTTGTAATGGAATGTAATTGTATATCTAGGTAGGTATTTTTTAATGTGGACTGGGATGGTGAGCAGGCGTTTTGTCTCTCTGGTCAGACTGAAACACCATTGTTTCAGCTTCTAGAAAGGACGTCATCCCTTGTGAGGAAAGTATCCAAGGGTCTTGCTTGTGTGAATTAGGGTTAGTGTTTCTTGTGCTACACGTATGGTTAGCTTGGTTGAGCTGCAACCTCTTGTTCTTGTTGATTTGTGGTTTTGTGGTTCTTGTTAACTGTATGTAGCATCTATTTCAAGGTAAAATTAGAAATAAAATGTGGTCATACCTGTCTGTCTGCCTCCTGCCCAGATGACATGGAATAAATGTCATTGATGTGGGTGCTTGTCTTCATCACTTCGACTTACTTGCGGGCTGGGTGGGAAGGCTTAGCAGATGGTGCTAAGCACTTAACTCATTCAGTTAAGCTTGCACAATGGTAATGTAAGATCAACTGTGCTTTTAAAGGATTCTGTTACTGTGCAGGTGAAAACTTTATTCTGACTAGAGGGCGTTTTCCAACTGCTCTGAAGCATCAGGAGGGGCGACTGCTTTCTCTGTAGGGTGGAGCCTTAAGAGCGTTGTTTACTGTTCCACTTTGATAAATAAGGGCTGAATTATCCAATTAGTAAGGAGCTTGAGCTCCGATCACAATTGTTGCCGATTAGGGATGGGGAGCAGATTCGCCACTTTGCAGCTGTCCCACTCCCGTTAGCCTGATCTGGATGCACCTCAAAAGCCAAACCTGGTCAGTCCTGGAATTGAAGGCCTCCAAGGAAAACCTATCTGCTGCTGCAAAGGGTGTTGGTGGGCAAGTAGTGGCTCTTTACCCTGTGACACAGAATTTCCTTACCAGTGCTGCAATATGGGGGGGCGCGCCGTTCTATGGATGAGACGTTGATCTAAGTTCCTGACTGCTTGGTCATTAAAAATTAGTGTGGCGCTGTTTGCAAGAGTAGGGGTGATATCAACTATCAGTGGGGACCATAAAGAAAGAGCATTCCAGAGATTTTCTGTTACCGTTATTTGTGTTAAAAGAATTGGGTATACACATTTTGCAACCTAAGCATCCCTTTTCCATTCAGTAAGATGTGGAAGAGAGTTCTTGAACCAAAACTCAGGTTGCTTGGTTCGGCAACTTTTGATTTCCAGCATTTCCAAATTGGTCTGGGTTAGTGTCATTTTTGTCGGTCTCCTCTCCGTCACTTTTCTGCTTCAAAGCACATCTGCAAACTTGCATAGTCTTGCTAGCTCACGGGCTTGCCCAGGATCTGCAGGCTGCACCTGGGATGTATGTCCTTCCTGTTGAGGTGCTGACTTCGCCTCTGTTCCCCTCCCCGTCTCTCCAGGTGGTACAAGCTGCACTCCAAGTCAGGGAAGAAGGAGAAGGAGCGTGGTGAGGTCCAGATCACCGTACAGTTCACTCGCAACAACCTGACGGCCAGCATGTACGACCTGTCCATGAAGGACAAGTCTCGCTCCACTTTTGGGAAACTCAAGGACAAGATGAAGGGGAAAAAGCGCGGGGAGGTGGAGTCGGCCTCCGCCATCGTGCCCAGCGGCTTCGGGGCCCTCTCTGGGCGGGGGGGCAGCCGGACGGCCAGCGAGGGGGGCGCAGAGGAAGAGGATGACGAGGAAGGAGGACCGAAAGAGGGGAAGAAGAACCGCATGAAGAACTTCTTCCAGAAGAACAAGCTGCGCAAGTCGTCGGACACGCGCTCCAACACCTCCCTGGGCTCGGAGAGCAGCGTGTCGTCCTCTCCGGGGGGCAGCCTGAGCCCCACTGCAGGCATCAGTGTGGTCGTGTCCGACCTGTCCAACTCGCCCAGCAACAGCAGCAGCCTGACGGTGGACAGCCCGGGTGAGTGCGGGGCTCTGCTTCTAGTTGATAGCGGTTTCGATTGGGCCGGCTGTGGTTCTGGGGGAAGGTGCTGCACTCTGCACTGCTGGTGGGGCTGTAAAGGGCTTTTCTTCTCTCCAGAGGGCAGAGCTAGGAGAGGCCCAAGGTGAGCGTCCCCAGCCATCAAGATACTGATGCGTTACTTTGACACCGTTTTTTAGTGGTAACAAACAATTTGATTTAAAGAAGAACCCAATTGAGTAAAACTTTGTATAGACCGGCGATATGCTGCAACATTGAGTGGCACTTAAGCCACGCTGTGAAGGAGGTCAGGGTTTGTGTTAGTGTGGAGTTTCCAGGCACCTCATTTGAGAATAAGAGGTAGAGGTGAAAGATTTAAGCAGCTCTTAGGATGTTTAAATTCTTTATCTGGGCAGGCTTGAGTTAAGAAGGTTCATTATAGTAACAAAATGTTAAATTCTGATAGCCCTTGCTTTAAACAAAATAACAGTGGCATGACGGTATAAAGTTTAAATCACAAATAAAAAAACTTTGTCTGCACACACAAAGCATTGGAAAAAAATCAGAATCTACCTAGAAACATTTGACGAAACGTTCAAAATCAACAAAATATGTGCAGAAGTGTTTCTGTCCTATGGAGAACATCATCTGTCCACTAAATATCAGTGAAAAAAGTTATTTAAAGGCACTAATGTGGTCCTTTCAGTATGCTGCTGAATGTTTCTGCTTTGTTTTTGGGTGAACCAGTATGTGGCTTCTGTTGGGGTTCTCATGGCTGGACTCAGAGAAGAGCAATTCACTGCATTAGGATCCAGAATGCTTTCAACATTCCAGCCATGGCATTTTAAGAATTCCTGTGTTGTGCAACTTGGAGCTCCTGTGCAGAATCTCAAGGAAGTTCTTAAGGGACTGAATCCAGCAGGTTTTCCCATTCTAAAGTAGGAGAAGCCCTTTTAGAAGTGTTAAACTGGCCCAGTTAATATGTGAAGAGCAGAGGTGGACTCCCAGGAGGGACTTGTGCACCCTTGGTTTGGAGGAATGGGGATGTCAGGGCCCAGAGGAGTGAAAAACTTCAAGACTGGGTTCAAAGGCCATAAATAAACACTTAGGGGAACTTAAAAACAGTGGTATTATTTGAATTCAGACAGTGAAGAAAAATGTCCCATGTGTACGATTTTGTACACTGTTTGTTGTAGCTGCATTTCTTGACGAGTTGATTTTGGTATTCATTAAACTGTGTGGACGCTTCACTTCTTCAGTTCTCTTAATGTCACCTCCTCCTCTTGTTTCCCCAGTCCACACGGTCCAGCCCTCGCCCAGACTGCAGACCCACAAGCGGGCGTTCAGCGACGAGGCGAGCCAGATTGTGGCCACGCTGCCCCAGCCGCGCTCTGTGGAGACCCTGAAAGCCCAGAGTGGGGTGCTGTCCAAGTCCTCGCTGTGCATCAACGGCAGCCACGTGTACAACGAGCCGACAGCCGCCGCCGCGGCCCCCTCGTCAACCCTGCCGGCCTCACTGGGGCTGATGCCGAAGTCCGCGCCGCTCTCCCGCTCGCTGCAGAACCTGGCCAGGAAGAGCGAAGAGAAGACACCCTCTGACACCCGCAGGTGGTCTCTGGACAAGCCCGGGAAGGAGGCTGAGGAGAAGTTGGGAGTGCCGTCTGCTCCCGAGCACGCCGAGAGGGGTGGGGCAGCCTCTGCCCGGCCGGAAGGCAGGCCGGTCCAGGTTGCCACGCCGATGGTCGCCGTGGCAGCGGCGGCGGATCCCGCCGGCGAGGGGAAGAAGCACAAGCTGAACCTGTTCTCTCACGGTAGGAGCGACTCTGCAGGAAAGGGCGGCGAGGGCCCCAGGACCGCGGAGCAGAGCAGCGGCCCTGTCCAGCCGCCTGCAGAGGAAAAACACAAGGGCTGGTTCGGCTCCAAGGACGGACAGAACAAACCGAGGTGAGTGCTGGCTTCAGGGCTCCGGCTCCTGGCAGTGGGAATTCTGTATGGCACAGGAGGCTTAAAGTGCAGTTAGTGCTCCGTATGTTAACCTTGAGGCTGTAGCTCTGATGAGCTGGACCTGCTCAGCAGGCTAGGATGTCCAGATGGGGCATCTCAGATAGTGCCACCCAGCAGTCTGCTCCAACACACTCTTAAAGTTCCTTAAACCCCATTCCTGCATCCAGGCAATAAATAAGGTAAGGAAATACTGTATGGTGTTGTTTTCTTCCATAGCTCTTCGAGAAACTTTCCCTAACCTGTCTTTCTTGGTGTAGCTACATACAGTACCAGGGCTGGGAGGTATAGTGCAGGTTAGATTATTCATCTGGGCTTTTGGCTGACAGCTTTGCACAGGGTGACTTAACACAGGTCACAGTGAGAGAAATCTAATGCATTGTAAACACACTTTTAATAATATGACTTTGTCAGGTGTGTCTCCACAGGTTATTCAATAAGGAGCTGAGTACCCGTGTGCAGTGAGGTGGGAAAGAGGTAGTTGTGTCAGTGAGAGTGGCAGGAGAAGTAGGAACAGAGAGTCTACAAATGAGAGGAGGCCTTTCAGACCATTCTGGCTCATATGGGTGCAAAGAACATGTAGGTTTAAAGGGATCAAGGCTACAGCTTTGGCCCCCTTTTATATCCCAGTTTGAGGTCGGTCACATCGGTCCTAAGATGGGTGAATGCACTAGGGACGCAGTTTGTCACCTGAGCCTCGGGGCAAGAATTATTTATTGTCCCCGCCTGGTTATATCGACACATTTAAAAAAAAAAACATCTCCTAATGTGGATGTCTAGGAAAAATGTCCATAAGCAACTGTGGGAACAGCGGTGATGTGGAAGACTGGACCAGCCTCTATGACCTTTCCTGGGCACCTTGTTTGTACAGGGATAGGGCAGGCTGCTGGCAGGCAATGTGAGGATCGTCCAGTAACACAGTAACCCAGCAATTAAAAAATGAACCAGGGCCCAAAGCACACTTAATAAAATGTCATTTTTAGTGGTGTAACACTGTTATAAACATGGATGGGCATTTAGGAAAGCAAAGGACCTGTCCTTTTCAGATGTGCATTTATGATAGCTGAAAGTCACTAGTGATGTTGCTGACACTAGGAAACATACTTCATTCTGGGAGGTGTTTTGAAATCAATGTTTAATGACAAATTTATCCAGGACAAAAGATCACACTTCATCCTGTGGGCAGCCTACTTCAGTTAGGCAACGGCCAGTGGTGTATTTTTATATTGAGTGTCAGAAGAAAACTTTAATAGCAGATATACTGGCATTTTACTGACATGACCGGTAAATTCATCATGCTGATTAAAATTTAATTTGGAGGTCTCTATTGTCATAGTCTCAGCTGTACATCTATGAGATCCTCCACTTGGTAGATGCCATGTTGTCCGATCTTGTCCCTTTCCTCTGTTGGAGCTGGACAAATGTATTTAGTTTTGTTCTGTATGCCCATGCCTGGTGCTTGGACAAGTGTCTACTCATAAAATCTGAATCTGCACTAGGAAGCACTGCTGGCACTATGGTGCTGTTCTCTTGGGAAGTGTTTGACTGTCTGGCTCTGGTTGGCAACTGTGGGAGGAGAAGATATTTTACCACTTCAAATTCTTCTCTGTGGTGATTCTGCTGATAAAAGATTGCACATAATATAATTTAGACTTTTAACAAAGACTAAATCAATGCCAAAATGGGATTATTGGCCACAACGTAAGAAGAGGCAGAGTATGTTTAGTCTCTTCGTAGAGCTGTGCTGTACAATATCACACATTATATGTATTGATTATGTGGTGATGTAACAATGCAGCCAGTGAGATGAATTATAAAGGAATATCTAATGTATAATTTGCATCTTTAAGTACACTTAAAGTCTCTTTAAGTACTGATCACAACAAACTTAATTTAACTTCTGATTTTCCCCCTAAATGAAGAAAAAAATCTACATGCAGAACATGAAACTTCACCATATTTTATCTTGGTGAAAACCTGTCCATGTCTCCCTGTTTCCACTAGTAACATTTCACCTTAGCAAGGTGGAGGAGATGTTGTCTACATGTAATTAACAGGATTGCTTAGATCTACACTGCATTCTTCCTTTTTCTTTTTCTTGAAAGCAGCCTGTGCTTGCATAACTTTGAATGTTTCTGGAATATTGGTGCTCATCATTCTCATCGCTTAATTAATTTGGACAACAGGCCTCATAAATCAGAATGACTTGTCTAGCTCCTGGCTGGCTGAACTGGTACAGGTGCTCATTCAGAGTGATCTTGGTGTTACACAGGAGGTTTACATATCCAAACTGTATTTAAAAACCCAGCTCCTTCAGTGCAATCTGTATGTGGACCTTTTCCTGATGTCGTTGTCAGCTGTGTGTTGCTTGACACTGGGCTACAACCTGACAGTATGAGACACTACATTCTCTCCTGCACAAAGACCTAATGTTTTAAACCTTGTAGGCGATGCAACAGCTCTGGTCTAATAGTATGCACTATTATGAAGGCCATGGTAAACATTTCCTGGAGTTTATGATGAAAAACACTCTATTTCACCATCTGTCTGGTCTATTTTAATTTGTTATTTAATAATTTAATTTTAATTAACATAAAGCCAGTGCATTAGTACTTTAATTAATTATATAAGGGAGGGTTACTTATATCTTTGAACCATAGGTACTATATACTGTAGTACATTAGGAGACAGTAAAGGGGTGGACTTACATCATATGTGAATTTGGCTGTTAATGACCGTTCTCTGCACTGACCATTCATGAATGTCAAGACTACAGTATATCTCTGATTAAATCTCCTAAGTGCAAAATTAACTGCAGGAGTGATCAGTAGTGTCAGTGTACAAACAGTCGTCAACTTTAACAGCATCGGAAACGGCAACAGGTTATAAGGATTCCTGGTGACCAGCTGGTATGCTTAATATAGTACAGAAATCTGGCATTGATCTCAATGGAATCAGATGTTAATTGGTTTTAAGACACCTAAAGGTAATACCTTGCTTATCTAAACATACAGTAATGATGGAAGAGGTGAACTATAGGGTTGAAAGGATTTCATATGAGTGTGAAACTGATTTACTGTGTGACTAAAGATGTCTTTGTATTCTTCCTGTTCCAGGTATGTAGAGTCCCCTGCTGAACGAGTGGTATACCGTTCTTTGTTTTCAGTTTGCATGCACTGGGCTCTTTTTTCAGGGGTGTTGAGTCTGAAAAAGTAAATGAGACAAATTGAAGATCTCAGTCAAAGTGTGTGATGCAGTCTCTTTATAACACACACTCACACAGTCAGGTGGAGCCGATGGATGGTTTCTAGTCTGAAATGGGTGTCCTAGGATTCACAGCTCCGCTTTCTCAGGCAGGTAGCAGAACATGGGAGGAAAGGAGTGCCCTGTCCTAAGTCCCATTTGTCATGTTGCAGCTTGGCATTGTTTATCTAGTCAGAAGTTCTATCTGGTGTGGTACTGGCCAGGTTAACTAGGCTCTGCAGGTACAGCCTTCCATTGTGGTATTAAGGAGCCAAGTGAAATATTTCGGATAGGTTCCGTAAGACCACATGCCAGCAGACTCTTACATCATAAACAATGAAGACCCTGCAGTGCCTGTGTAATAAAAGCAGGGTTACTAAGCACAAAGGGCCTATAAGCATTGATAAATTCTTCCACTGTGACCTGAACATCAGCTTGCTGCACATGTAAATTCTCTGTTAAACCTGCCGAAGGGAGCACACGGCAGACTGATCTCCAGTACAGGGCCCGATTGTCCTGAGGGGATCTCGGCAGACCACAGACTCCCACTTCGGCTCCTACTGGACAGAGCAGGTGTTTGCAAGATCGCAATTGTAGAAATCCTTATATGGCCTGACAGCGGCACAGTGAAGACATTTCAATAATAAACCTGAAGTAGCTTTTATTGTTTTTTTTATTGTGACACTTTCTTGATGAATACCTAAATTGACAATTTGCCTCAAATGTAAGAAGCTTATTAAGCAGAAACAAGACTTAATCTGCAGAAATTTGATAATTATAGTTTATGAAGCATCTTTATTTGAAATTCCGATTGAATAGTTAAGACATTTTATGGCACCTTCCACAAGATTAAGAGCTTTTTATATTATACATAAATAGGATCTGGTATTTAAGAAAGTTAGGTCAAAATTATTTTAAATTAAATGAACGATAAATCCTCTTCAGAAATAAGGAAGGTTTCTCTCTGCTAGCTTGCACATAAAGTTGGGGTAGCTCCTGCAGCCAGGACACCCAGAAGATGGGAGCCGGTGTGGGATGCAGCAGTATGAAAGCACTCACATGGTTTCCCTGTCAGAAAAAAACACATCTAAACTGCTAGCAGGTAAAAAAGAAGTTCTTTGAACTTATTAAAAAAATGCCTCACTGTTCTCAAATGTTCTGCTAAATTATTTACAATCCCTTTATTTGATGGGAAAATGAGAAAATACTGTACAATTTAATTTAGTTTAATACTGATACTCCTTAGTATCATTTTAAATGTGCATTAATAAATTTGACACAAATATTTAATAACAGGGCTTTGCTACATCCTGCCTGAGAAAGTGTACAGAAGAAATCAGGGTGTGTCTTGCAGTGGATCCTTGGCTTTTGGTGTTGGCGTCATTCAGTTTGCAGGCTCGGTCTTTTCCTAATGCAACGTCTCCTCCAGTTCAGCAGTAGTTCCTAAGACGCTCTGTGCAACAGTGTTTGAAAGCTCTCACACTGCTGTGATTAATATCACTGCTACTCTCTTATAGGCAACAGGAGATCTGCTGTTTGTGGAATGGGCTGGTTCCTGCAGGATCTTGCCACATTAAAAAGGGCAGGCTTGATCTGCTGATGTGCATACAGCATAATATCAAGCACAGTGGTGGGCAGACACAAGCACAGATATTATGAAGACTGATGTTTCAGCTATAGGTTAGGAAGGGCTTGGAGGAGACTGACTTTTTCCACTTAATAAATTCCCTGCTTATTATTTTGGAGGGGTATGGGTTTCATTTGAATACAGTGGGGCTCTGTACCATTGAACACAAGAAGGGTTGCACATGAGAAGAGGCCATTCTGCTCCCTTGTATGCTAGTTATTACAATTACTTAATATCCAGATTCCTGCTTTCTGCATTCTGCACTTACATTTCTGTTTGCTCCACTAATTAGCTACATCTAGGTATTCCCCAGGAAGTTCAAGGAGGAACACAAGTGCTGTACTATAGTGTGCGGTCCACTGAAGAAGCCACTGAGTCACACTGATATTCTTCCCCTTGACACTTCCTATTAATCATGTTTGAGGTGCCTGATCAGTCTCTCTGTTTTTGGATGTTTAAGTAGCACTTCAAGGTGAAGTGTTGAGAGAGTCCCTCATTGTGTGAACTACTTACAACAGCAACAACATGTAAAATAAGTGACATGAACTGTTCTTCTCCATTTTGTTCAGAAGACCAGTCAAGGGGCTCCAGGCACCTTAATGACAATGAAAGTGAGAATGGTAAAGTTTGTTTCCGGGGTTTTCAGTCCTTACCGCAATTGAGGGATTTTGTTCAGTGTGTCAAATGAGGTTGGAATTAGACCGACGAATGACTGCAGTCTTCACAAGTGTGTTCCACGTTCTTCAGGTACAACACATCCATATGCTTTTTTGTTTAGGAAGATTAGATGAGATTCAGGAAAAACGTCATTGTCTGCTGTTGTCGCGATCAGTAAGGCAGGCCCTTGAGAACAGTGCCTCATTTTTCAGTCAGTATAATTGTAAGACTCACCTGGCAAGTCTGAAAATGGAGAACAGAGGCTGGCACAACAGTGCCTGTTGCCCGGAAACAAACTGGTATCTTTTCTTCTGTTGGAGGGGCACCTTGCTCAGCAGAGAACATCCCTATATTTTTAGAGTTTTCTTCCCCCTAAAATACACAGAAGTAGTCCAAATCTTGGCAATTCATCTTATTTACTTGGCTTGCTCACTGATGAAGTCCTGTTAAACCATGTGCATATGTACAGTAATCTGCCAGACAGATGGGAAAACAAGTCTGGCCTCTCCCCTTTATACTGGTGTAACATGGATACCTCATACTTGTGGTACATTCTTCTCTGCTGGACAATGTCTTCTCTTTTACAAAGCTGTTGGGCTCACCTAGGCACAGCACTAACCAAGAGGACTGTTTGTGCCTTCCCTCCACAGCCTGGAAGTGTCTCCTAAGGTAGAAACCAGCTCAGACGCACCCTTTCACCTTTCATCTTGGTCCCCTGATCACCTCTTTGCTCCTTCTCCTGCTTCCGCTGTTGATCCCTCCTTGCTGGGCAGCACACCCCATGTTAACCCATTCACTCCCTCACTGGCCACCACGCCCATGTCTCCATCCAACCCCTTTTTCATTAGTCTCCAGTGTAACCCCTTCTTTGAAGAGCTCTTAGCTGACCAGGCACTAAAATCTGCCACACCTGCTCCCTATTTCTCCAGTTCTCCCCTCTGGGCCTCTTCAGCTCCCTCCTCCTGGCCCGCTGATCCTGGTTCTGCCCAAGATGGTGCTTGGAAGAGTGCGTCTGCCAACAACAAGATGCAAACCAGTGGTTTGATTACCAGGCAAAGCTCGGTACCTGCATCTCTTTCAGGGTCAGGTATGTCAGGGGATACTCGGAGAACCAAGCTGTTTCCTCCCCGCTCCATGTCCGAGATTACAGGGGAATGGGATGAGTCATTTGACATTTTTGCTACCAGCAGACTGAGATCTGGGCAAAAAGACATGAGCTTGCCCAAATTGCCAAAAGAATCAACATTCCACTCATCTCTAAAAGGGTATTCGTCACCTACGGCTGAGAGGAGCTCATCATTTTCTGTTCAATGTGGAGATCTGCCACCAGTGCCTCCGCGTAAGTCTGTGCGGGGTGTAGTTCAAGACGGGGACGGAGCGAGCTGGCTGGACCGGGCACAGGAATTTGCAGTCAAGAAAGAAGCCAGACTTCTGTCTCAGGCAGACGCTTCTTCCATGCAGCTCCGCAGGCAAGGAGATCAGGGCAAAGGCGAGCCAACTCCGCTGCAGGAACCAGCACTCGAACCAAAGGAAGCTGCAGCTTCCCCTTTGAAGGAAATGGAGGAAGAAGCGAAGATGAAGGTGCAAACACCTGAAGGCAATGCTAAGCCTCTGGGGCTGAGTTTGACACCGAAGTTTGTGAGCACATGTTCAGTAACATTCATGAAAAAGTCACAAGGTCTAGAAGGTACACAAGGCCCAGATGCACACTTGGGCCGGATTAGTCATCAGTCTCACCCACAAAGCCATGAAGTAAGCTTTGAACTAGACAAAGCCAAGGAGTCTTTTGCCTTGAGCCCTGAAGGAACTGTCGGAACCTCAGGAAGTGAAGTGGATAGTGGAACAAGAAGCTTATCTGATCAAGAAGTTGGTTCTGAGTTGTCTGAGTGTGAACTAGACAGGAATGTAAGTACCTCACTGGCCTTTACCCAGGAAGCCACCGATAGCGCAGGAAGCGAAACAGATAGTGGGACTAAAAGCCCAGCTGTTTTTGGCAGATGGAACTTAGACAGTAAGCCAGATTCGCATCGAGAGAGTTTGATGGTCAAACCAGACATCTGTTCTAACAACTCAATCAGTCCATTCAGTGGGATTTCCCCATCTGTGTCACAGGCCATTGCTGATAGCTCAGCCCACTCATCTCCTGAATTCTTGGGGCAAGTGTCAAAGACCTCTGCTACTAAGTCTTCTGATCCACCCCTGGATATTTGTGAAATTCAGGCAGTTGACTATCCTGCAGCTGGTACTAGTGCACCATGTGCGAGTCTGCAGTCTACAGATACTGTGCTGGTGGGCTCCACACTTGAAGCATTCACAACTGATCTTGAACCTAACCGCAGTGGCGAAATAGAAGATCTGGTTACCTGTGGTATCCAGCCTACTAAAACCATTATGCATGAGCTAGACATAAGCAAACACAAATCATTTGATTTGTTTGCTGACGTCGATACAGATGCCTATCAGAGCTTGTCTGTCGAGCCTCTGAGTTCAACCAACAAAGTTGTTTATGATGCACTGTTTCAAGATGTCTTGAAGGATGTGGACCCCCCTGCTAAAATAGTCACAACGGCAGTGCATTCTCTTGCCATTGAGCATCTTGAGGCATCTCCTGCTGAAGATTACATCAGGTCAGATGGGACAACCAGTTCCTACCCAGAAACAAAGATGGCGGTGTCTGTACTTCCAGCAGTGGTAGATGTTGATGTTAGATCATTGCCTGCTTTGCCTGAGGAAGAAGTGGATGAAGTGAACCAGGTGGTTTTGCCTGTAGCATCATCTAGAAGTGTCATTATGAATGATGCTCTCCCTGCACTAATAAATACCTTCACAGCTGGACTTCCTGAAAGCTCATGTGTCAGCCATGGCAGTGGACCTGCAGCTGGACAGCCGTGTGCCTCTTCCAAGTCATTTGAAGTGTTCTCTCCTGCTACAGAGCAGAATTTGGAAGAAACATTAGTATTGTCAACTCAGCCTACCACAAACCTAAAGTGCATGAGCCCACTTTTGAAAGAAAAAGACTTAGCTTTACCTTCAGATACTGCTGATGCTATGAGAGGAGATGACAAAAAGAAAAATGACAAAGGCTTAACCATTTTGCAGGTGGAATCGAGTGTTTCTGCTGGAAAGGGAGCTGAGAGCCCTTTGATGGGGTTTGATGGTTGTGTACAAAGCAGCAGAGCAGTCTGTGATCGTGATGAGCTGGTTCGTATAGAATCCAGCACACCAGAGGTTCTGGACCTTCATACTGCAGTGAAGCTGGGGGAATCTTTCGGATTGCTGAGAGACGCCCTGGAGACTAACCGTAGAGGCCTCCCATCAGAAGTAGTGGATGAAACTACTTCAGATCGTGTTTCCCAGTCTTCTAACAGTGCAAGTACAAGTGAAGAGCCTGCAGTGTTAGCTGCAGTCAAGCAGGAAACAATTGTGCCCCCATGTAAACCTCCTAGGCTTCATGATAAGCATTTCCCAGACAAATCGGAGGACCGTTCCATAATTAAAGTAGCTGAGCATGTGGAAGTTGAAGATGCGCTGAAGATGAAGGACAACAGAGCAAATGAAGTGCGGTCTGTGGAGTGTCTGCTGAAAATGAGTACTGTTCTCAGTTCCAGTGAAAAGATTGCTTCGGACCACTATGGAACTAGTAAATTCCAGTTTCCTCCGGAGGGGTTGGACCCCATGATGAGCATTCAAGACAAAGGGGTAAGTGCAGGTGTGCTAGACCTATCTTCACCTTTTGAAATCATTAGCGAAGAGCAGAACATAGAAACATGGAAATTGCAGCCTAGCTCCCCCAGTTCGCAGGTCAAAGAGGACTCTTCTGTGGCCCTCCAGAGTAAATTGGATAAAAGCTGGTTGACTAACGAAGGTGGTTTTGAAGTGAAGGATGAACTTAACACTTCTGATTTGATGATCTGGTCAGCCGAGAACTTGGAAGAGCCCTCTCCTTTCCAGGAGAAGGAAGGTGTCAGTCTCTCTGAGAAATTTAGTGTTGTCAACAGATTGAAGAGCCAACCCACACAATCCGAGAGCTTCACAGCTGCTACTGCATTGTCAAGCTCTTACCATGTAACTGCTCCTGAGAATACAAAACAGAATGAAGGGAAACAGCCTCTAGAGTCTAAGGACAATGACCGTCTTTCCACGACATTAAATTGTTCTGAGCACCAACCATCTGGGAAGCAAAGCAGGACTCCCGGCACCCAGCTGACATCTCCCGGGGATTTTTCCTCCGGCATATCCCAGGACCTAGTGATAGACCTGAAGCCAGAGGACATTTGCAGACCTCTTAAGACGCGACTCTCTGATGAAAATCCTTTTCAGGACGCCTCGTACCCTGCCATGTTTGGAAAAAACAACCCCTTTTCTCGGTCCTTTGCGGCAGCAGACCCCCTTCCCTCATCTACACAGCCCTGTCGGAAGAAAGAGGAAGCACCGGGCAGCATTAACTTTCCTGAAGACCAGTCCAGGCCCTTTCTGCATGATGGCACCCCCCTGGCTTCCTCCACCCCTTCCTTAGTGGCTGCAGCTAACTCCAAGTTAACCCACCTCCCCTCCCCCGTCCTGTCCTCTTCGACTTTGAGGCCAGCAACAGGGACCGCCCAGGCCGCCGCCCCCTCCTCCTTCTGCCCTCCACCACCGATTGCTTCAGCGTTCGCGGTTTTGCCAGAGGAGACACAGCCGGCTGAAGGCTTCCTGCCGAATCCCAGGAGCAGGTGAGACCGAACGGAACCGGGTAGAAGTGGCCGCTCATCCCTCCTCTGTTTAGAGTCCTTCCATCCCAGTGCCTCAGGTGCTGAAAGGCAAGTGCCGGATGTTACATTCCTTCTTCGTTAGCATACTTGTGTAAATTCTGTGCGTCTCTTTACAGTTGAGGCGGTGGGGTGGGATGATCTAGGGAGAGAGGGATGACTGCCTTGCAAGGTCACATAAGAACACAGTGGTTACAAATGAGAGGAGGCCCATTTAACATATTTGGTAGAGTTAGTAGTTAATTAATCACGAATCTCATCCAGCTACTTCTGCAAAGAAGCCAGGGTATTGATATAGGAAGGAGTATAATTTTGAACATTAGAGATTCCAAGGCTGTAGAATTGAATAGGCCTCCTTCCCATAATAGATGCCCTGTAGCTCCTAAGTGTCCACGTTTTTAGATATTGTTTATAAGATGCCTTATTTAACTATGATAATACCGAGTTAACTTTAACAGTCCCACAGACACTCAAATTGTTTCATCGGTCTTTGAATCTCCTGTGATCTTCCAGGTTTCTAAATGTTAAGTATGGAAAGGTGGCATTTTTCCCTCAAGTGAAAGTATCAGGTATGTAAGTAAGGATGTGCAAAGCTCATTCTGCAGTGTTTTTGACAGTATGGCAGTCGAAGTCCTGTTGCTCTCCATGAGCTGAGCAGAGAGAGGAGGCTAAAGGTGAGTAGTGAGGCTGTGCAGTGAAGCTTTGCGGCTTTTTAAGAAACGTCCTCTGGTGGTGACACAAGGTTGCAGCGACAGTAATGGAAGTATAGCTCAATAAGTGAGATGGAGCTTTTTATGCAGATTTTATGACTAAAGGAGAAATGTATGTAGCCATCAGTTCATTCCATAATCTCAAATTGACCTAAGAGCTTTTTTTTATTTTTCATACTAAATGATTTATCTACCAAAGCTGTGTGCCAGGAAATATTAGAGGATAATGGATAACACCGGCCCAGTTCCACGAGGTAATGGGTTACGGGAGAGCACTGGCCCACTTCCATAGGGTAATGGGTTATCAGGGAGGCTCTGGCGCAGTTACACAGGGCAAGGGGTTATTGGGTGACTCTGACCCGGTTCCACAGGGTAATAATTTATTGGGGAAGTTCTGGCCCAGTTACACAGGGTAATGGGTTACGGGAGAGCTGTAGGGGAGTACATGGTAATGGGTTATTGGATGGCGCTGGCCTAGTTCCACAGGGTAATGTGTTACTGGGGAAGTTCTGGCCCAGTTACACAGGGTAATGCGTTATTGTTATTAGGCTGCGCTAGCCAAGTTGCACAGGGTAATGGGGCTGTGGGGTGCACAGTTAAAGGTGTGTACAGCTGCTAAATTCATTGAAATGGGATTTCATATCTCCCACCTGTGCACAGGCCTTTTGTAAACGTGATATAGAATATAGAATACATATGTTAGGAAGTTCACCATGGTGAAGATAGTCTCTCCCTTGTGCATCTAGGCGCAGGTATGTGTGGAACACGTACGGGTTTTAAGATTCTAGAGAAGCGGTGAAGATTTTTTAATTGAGTCTCTCTGGAATTCCTCCTGACACAGGGTTTGTTCTTTCTGGTTTAATGTGTGCTGAAAGTCAGATTTATTTATTTCTTAAAGTATCTAGTGAAACATAAGTGATTCAAGTGATTTTTTTTAATCCACAAAATTGTCATAAAACCATCAGCATGAGGACCAGATCATATAGAGATCTGAGGGTTTAACCCCCAATGCGTGCTGATTCGGACACAAACATCAGTAAAGGGCAGCAGGTGAGGAATTCTGTTGAACAGGTGGGAAGCAGTAGGCCCAATCCCTAACTGCAAAACTGAGATGTGCTTTTCAAGGCACGCCTGCATTGAAACATCAGGATTTTTATGTATTTACAAGAACAGTTGCCTGGGAAAATGGAATGAACATGAAGTTAACAGTTAAAGAGGCGTGATGTGTATAAAAGAGGTTTGTGAACAGGACATTTCACCTTGCCCAGGATTAGATTCTCGGGTTGTTTTGTCAAACACTTGTTTCCTGTATTGTAAAGTAATGCTGTGCAGTGTGAGAGATGTGGAGGAGCACACAGGCCTCTGTAATTGCATTTACAGCACGCGATTGGTCCTTTTCCATTCAAATTTGTCACTGTGAGATCCTATGGCCAGTTTGGAATTGTAACAGGCCTTAAGGAATAACAATTTAGGAAATAAAGCTTGTTGTCTTTTTTTTTCCCCCTCCTTTGTGAGCAGTTTAATTTTCTGCTTACAGCTTCATTCCTTCCTCTCCTCGAGTCTGTTTCCCCTGGGCTGCTGGCTGTCCTCGATTTCTCCGTGGACATGAGGCTGGTTAATTTCTCAGTGGGCACTCTGCTGTGTTCCAGTGCAAACAAGCAGCTTTCCTAGAAGACACCTCACTGGTACCCTTGCTTTGTGCCTGAGTGACCGGGGGAGGCAAAGCACAGCCCAATTAGTAGGCGAGAGCTTGCTGACAGAATAATTATTTTTCCAGAGAGTTTCCTGCCGGGCTGTGGGGCCCAGGGTGCAGCTGGGCCTTTCCCCCAGGCTGTACCTGTCAACACCTTGTTGGCGTTGAGAGGGTGGCTGACAGCCTGACCCAAGGGGGCCAGTCAGGGAGGACGAGATCCCCAGTCAGCCTGCTCTGAAATAAGACCCCAGGCTTTGCTTGGCCTGGATGCGAAGGAAACTGCAAACATCATGGTTTTCTAAGCATACCTTCTGTGAGGACATGACATACAACCATTGGAAGTGTGAGCATCAAAAATAAATTTTGCAGTTCAAGAGCCTTCTTAGGAATCCTATGTGATCAGTGAAAGTGTCCGTGTGGAGTCTAGCCATCACTGTGCTGAGTCTAGATGCATCATTCTCCTCACGTGACCAGGAATCCTTGAGCGATCCACCAGTCCTGGGGGTTCGGTCAGCCCATCCATCCTTGGCCTTCTGTACTGCAGTGACCCATGTGGCCTCACACCTGTGATCTCACATTCACGCTGTGGGTTTTTTGCAAGTGTTTGTTTCACAGGACAGCAGTGCAGTGTTACTTGCTTCTGAGGATTTCTGTGAAATTGGTCCAGTTAAAAAGAACACAAACCTCTGAACATGATGATTGCTGGAGGGGGTCTAGAAGAAGATACCCTGTCATAGTGTCGTGGCCAACACCCTGACATCTTTCAAGAATCAATTGGCTACTAACTACTATACGAACTAGATGGGTTCATAACCATTCTGATGCCCTTATTGTGGCACTAATGGCGAAGTGATCTCAAGCATTCACCACGACCGCAGAGGTTAGTTAGCCTGGATGTTGGAGAAGATAAAGGAAAAACAAGTTTGAGGACAGCGAGGACAGCCTATGGCTCCACTTCTTACCAACATGTTCCTTGCAAATAAGTGACGGTGAGCTCGTTTTGAAATCGGTGAGAAGAGGAAGAGTGACCAGTTGAAAGAACCCAAGACACCCTGGAGTAATAGTGGCCTGCTGCGTGCTCTCCACATGACGTGCCCACTCCGCACATCTGACGAGCTTGTGTGATCCCACAGTGATCCTGCCCGGCCAGTTCCCTACAGGGTTCCTGCTCCGTCAACAGCCGGAGGAAAACAGGGCCGTGTTGCAAACCCTCTGGAGCTCAGACCCCCATCAGGGCCTGTCGCGAGAAGTTAGGCTAAGAGAGGTTACAAACAAGAAGAGGCCATTTAGGAGGTGTAAATTTTTCCTGTGTATAATTTTAAATCTGTCCCTGTCATTAGGACTGTGCCATTCCATTGAGCTTACAGTTCAGTAAGTCAAAGTGACATCTTATTACTCTTCTGTTGCCTGACAGGGAAACACATTTCCAATACAGTGGCTCTTGAGGTATTGTGGGATATTTAACAGTGGTGCTTATTTTATTTTTTTTAAGTGGTTCCTGAACAGCCAGCCTGGAGAAAAAATCACTGCCTTCTCAGTTTTAGGCTTGCAGTGCAAAGGGAACATGTTCAAGCAGGGCTCACAACAGGCCTGTTGGTTTCTGGGCTGAATGCCTGGGGGTCAGTTCTGCATGGTCACCTGTTGTAGGGACATTTCCAGAAAATCCGTGGTCATTAATAAGCACCGTTAAACAATGATACGTTCGATTTTATCAAACTTATATGTCCTGGAAAAGAGCATGTACCCAGTGACCTTCAGGGGAGTCCAGGTGTATTGGGAGTGCAGACAAATGGCTAGAACTCTATTTCTTTTTGAACTATAAAAAACTCTTTCTCTGTAAATGGCCTCTTTAGCTCCTGTGTCTTGGGGTACCTGGGATTATTGGGGGTGTCGACAGCCCCAGCCCATCTGTGGAGTGTCTTCTCCATAAAGCCCTGGCCCACCTTCTCTGGCAGATGAATTCATCTCCAGCTGTCGGATCCTTTTTGGGAAATAACTAGAGCTGCCATGGATAGACAGAGAAGAAAAAGGACCCAGGCTCCCAAACCAGATAACTTTACATGTGGAGAGCACAATCAGACCAGGCAGAGACCAGTGGGTGAAACTGATATGCTTTTACTTCAAACCTCCCTATCTGTCCTAGAGGTAAAGAGTCCTCTCTTCGAGACAAAAGAGCTTAAGCAAGGCTGCACAAAATAGTAAACAGACATGTTTTTTTAAATAGTCTTAACAAAATTTTATTTTCTCTTTTCTAGCTTTTCTCGCTAGAAAAAGCATGTTTTTGTTAATCATTAATAGCTCATTGTGCATTGTGTCTGTTATTTTCTTCTTCAGCATCATACTCTAAAGCTCTAAAGTGAATACATTCAGCATTTGATGTCAGATTTGCTTAATGTAATAAGTGAGTGAGACTTTTTCTGACAGTCACACGAGCGGTATCAAAGGACAGCAGAGAGATCACAGTGCAGTGCTAGAGATGTTTTACAGGTCTTTCCAGTGAAGCCGTGCTCGTGATGACGCAAAGAAATCGTTCAGTAAACTGCATTACAAAAGGTCTCTGTTTCACTACAGCAGTAGGTTTTCAAGAAGATTCTACTCTTTAATAAGCTTTACCTCGCTGATTCAGTTGATCGATTACGTGACCAGGTTAATTCCTAGTTTCCTGGTCCGATTACTACCTGCATTTAGAGCTGGAGAGCGATCTTCACGCTTGGGAGCGCGTGCGGTGTCCGGCCCATGCAGGTGCCAGTCTGTATGTCCGGGGTAACTGCGCTGTTTCCCCCACCCTCCTCCACTGCAGCCCCCACCCAGTGAAGCCCCTCAGCACCTCCGCCCACCACGAGGAGAAGAAGGCAGAGGGCCGCTCGGTGCTGGCCAGCGGGCTGGAGAAGCTCAAGTCCACCATCGCCCCGGGGAGGACCACCCCCCATAGCGAGCCTGAAGCTGAGAGGATCAAGGTAGGCTGGGGAGTTCCGTCGACAAGCCAGGTTCCGGGAGGGTAACCCAGTGGTCTCGAGCCTCCCCTGCTTGGAGCACAGCAGCTCTCCTTCTGAGTTTGAGTTTGGATGCCCTCTGGCTGTGTAAATTGGCCTTGGAGAGCTGCTTGCTATAAACTGCATTGACATCATCTGCACTCAGGGTGTGCAGGGGAAATGCAATTGCCTTTTCTTAATTTTTTTGCATGCTTTTTTGGGGCTGACATTTGCATTTTAAAGCAACTCACAGAGCTTACAACAACCTATGTTTTTAGTGTAAATAATTTGGAATTACACAGTGGTGCTACATGTAGACTGCAATTCATGTCAACTTTCTAGTGGTATATGTAGCTTCTCTGCTTTTGGTTTAAAATAACTGGGACAGTTGTGTAGTTGCATGCGTGAGCAAAAGGAATTGCGCATTAATCATACTGAAATTGTGCGTGTTGGTTATGATTACAGTGTGTGTTAGTACACGTAATGGCTGAGTGATTTCTTAATGTAAAGATGTCAGGATGCCACCTCAGTTGCACAGTAAGGATGAATTGGGGGTGGGTGGGATGGTAGTTGATGTTTAGGTTGTCCAAATATCTTCCAGGGAAAATTCCTTTTTAGTAACACTGTGGTTAAAGGTTGAAGAGCTTCCCTTCAGTGGGCATGGCACGTCTTTACAGATGGCCTCAGTGTGGAGCTGAGTGCTGCGAGAATCTCATTACACCATGGACGGTAGGGCGGAAGTAGCTTGTGGACATGTGAACTGGGGTGCAGAGCTTCTCCTGTGAGCACAGACTGGAGCTCATTAATTACAAACTGGTGACCTGCTTATTCCCAGCCGCCCCGCAGTGTCTCTGCATCGTCTAGATACCCGCTAACTCGTCACAGTTCGTGAGCTGTAGAGGTACTAAGACTGCAGAAGGAATCGGGTGGATATTTTTTTCCTGCTCACTTGAGATATCCAGGTATTGCATCAGCACTTCACAGATGGCTGCTAGTGACACTTCTACAGCAGCTAATTCATGCATGTGCCTGAAGAAGGAGTCTCAATCTCAGACTGGCTCTTCTGCAGACAGAACAGGATTAATCAATTATATTTGTTTCTTGTATGTGTTTGAAGTAGCACACAGTACAATTTGAGGGGAAACGGTTTTCTTTATTAGGGACTCTTTACTGGTAACAAAATGAAAATATTGCAACCCTGTCCTGAGATATTCTGTGTCTTGCTGTTGGTCATTTGATACTTTCAAGCAGCACCAGGCCTCTGACCAGTTTGCAAAAAGTTATCATTCAGGCAGACAACTCCCTTGTGTGTTAATCAGATTGTGCAGATTGTGTCACTCTAGCGTGGTGGGCAGCAGTGCAGGACGTGGCAGTGTGTTCCCCTCTCAGATCAGACAAGATGCACACATCAGGGCAGCAGATTATAAAGAACAGTTCTAGCCTTCTCAATTTGTAGCTGATGCCTTAACACTTGAGTCGTGCGAAAATCATATAAACCTGCTTTTTTCATTTTTTTCTCCACCAGTAGCTGCCTAATAAAGATCCTTTTAGTTCAAAACCTGCCAGGTTTTGGCACTTGTTTTTAAGTCAGAACTTGGATGCACTGTAACTTTGTAGTGTTTTCCTTTTCTCAGGTTTAGAGCTGTTTCCCGGTGCGCATTATATAGATTAAAGCTTCATAGGCAGAGAGGATGTATGGAGGTGATTAAGTCACCCTTTTAATTAGACTATTTTTTGCAGGATTGTGACTGGGCTCACTTTTTCTAAGCCCCATTGCTTCTCTGTCCTGCTCTTTTATTAGGTTTGAATCCACTGTTGTGAGCTGTATTTTGTAAAACCAGACCAAATATATGGAGGAACTGCAATTAAAACCAAACTGAGCGACCTGAACCTTCAATGGTTTTCTCCTGTCGCCTGTGCTCTCCACAGTCGCTGGCCTCAGATGGCGCCGCCCGTTATTACCACTTGACCCACGACGAGCTCATCACCCTGGTGCTGGAGAAGGAGGCGGAGCTCGAGAAGAAGGGGGCGGAGCTCAAGAAGATGGCAGGGCAGGTGCATGACCTAGAGGATTACATTGACTCCCTGCTGGTGCGCATCATGGAGCAGACGCCCACTCTCCTGCAGGTCAAACCTGCGGGCAAATAGATGGGGGCATCCAGAGCTCGATTCTTCCACACTGCGTCTCCCTCCCCAGCCCAGCACTACACCGACATGCCAACACAGACTTCGCCAAAGCAAGGCAGCAGCAACACCAGAAAGCCTGCTGGTGCTCTGACTTTGCATGCTTGCTCCTTCGATGTTCCCGGGGGTGGGCAGGCTCTTGGATTTGCACTTCATTTCCAAACTGAAACAGGTTAGCACTTATGTAAGAATCTCCAGTCCCAGCCCCAAGAGAGTGTTGTGAAGAGTGTCTGTTAGGGACGCTGGCTCTCCTCCCGTGTCCTCTGTGAGCCTGTGTCCATACTGGGCATGGGGCTGTACCTGGTTTCCTCTGATAACGAGCTACATGTCAAATCGGTACATGAAATCAACCAGTGTGTAAACACCTAAACAGGTATTAAGTCAGTTTCATCTGAGCTTCTAGAGCATTTGGAGTTCTGGGAAGTCAGTGAATTGCCTGTGACTTCTGATAAGAATTCCTTTGCTTTTTGACAGTATTGGGGGAAAAAACAGATTTCGCAGTCTTAGAACAGGCATTTGGCACTGTGACATGTTGCACTACTTAAATATTTAGCAACATAGCGAAGACAGAGGGACAGTTCATCTTTACCTACCCCCGCAGGTCAAGTGTTGAGTCATTGACTCGGTCCAAAACCACCTTCTCTTCTTCTCCAGTAAATCGTCTCGGAATGTATTGTATCCAAATCTTCCTGTTGCTCTTTGCCTGACCAGATCCCCCTCGCTTCGGCAAAAGTTCACATAGCTATGCTGCTGCTAAGTATCTCAAATGGAAGGGAAGTGTTTTAACACCGTTTGACAATGCCAAATGCTGCCTTATTTTATTTTTTCCTTTCTTTCAACACTTTATTTTAAGAAAGTTACGCTTAGTCTTCCATTTTCAAAGTGAATGAGAAAAACGAACAACAACATGTAAGCCATGGTGTAAATATGTAAAATGTGTAAAAAATATATATGGAATGCCTGAAAAATATCAGTCTTTCCAGGATGTTTCAAAGACGGCTTGTATACTTAAACTGAGTCTTGTATTGGACTGTTTCCTGTATTGCTTGACTGGTTCCAATGTGCATTCCACTTAATCTGAGGTCTGCTCAGGGAACTGTTAAAACCAAGGAGCTGGAGAGTGGATCATTGAGGTCTCTTCCTTCCCTGTGAAAGATCACATCCTCAGGTTTTACCAACCGGCCTGTGACGTCTCCGCGTTTGGTGTACAGGGCGATCGCTGCTTCTCATGTAAAGTCAAGCTTTCTCCCATATTGACAACAGCTTGCTAATTAAACTGAGCAAACACATGCCCCCATAGTACAGTAGGTGCCATTCTGCTGTTTGTAGCTTGCTCACAAACATGCTGTGAAAGTCATTGTGTCATACTCCGCACTGCGCTGTCCTCAAATCCAGCACTGCTCAAACAAATAGCAATAGACAGCTGGGAGTCAAACTGTTAATCCTGCCTTTTAATGTTCCCCTCTTTGGGAGACACATCCCCGAGGGGATGCTCCCTTGACTGTTCCAGGGCACACTGAGCTGCATGGTGTCTTTTATTGACAGATGTATTTAAATGTCATCAAACACTATGTGATGGGAGTTATGCCTCTTAATCAAAGGGGCTTTCCTGCAGCTAATGCAGGAGCTAATGATCTCTTCATGCCCGGTGACATAGAGTGCGTCTATATTATCGTCTCACATGCCCCTCCCTCCCCAATAACTACCTTGTGGTTTACTTGACAGCAGTCGCTCATTACATTGCTGTCTGCGTCCTGGATTCACATCTGCTCTGATGTGAGAATAGACCGAGCCTCTCGATGAGCGTAATCAGTTGTATTCCCACATTCCTGCAGGGGATTGGCTAACACATGGTACATAGCTGCAAGAGTGCATTTCCTGGTTGGCAGGGGTAGTTACTGAGGATGGCTGATGGCTGGGCTTTGAGGAAATGAAGTTGCAAAATTTCGCTTTCTCCAGCAGGGGGCCACAGTATGTTTTTGTGGGTTCAAGCAAGAGACGAAGACTCAGCAGAGTTTCCAGTATAATGCACACAGTGCCACTTTTGAAATAAGAAGAAAAAGTTTACAGTTCTATTAATGATGTTTCTGTTACACTCTTTTATATATTTAATAATAGAAAGTTTGCTTCTTGTTCGTGTATAATTGCTGTTGTGTTAATAAAAATTGATGTTAAGCACTTTGCAAATAAAAATTCACAAAAACTCTCTGGCTTTTTCTTATTTAGGGACACAAATGCTGTTGGGTTGTGAATGAGGTGTGAGGGTGTGATGTTGGACAGTGAATGGGAATCAAGCTCCCTATCCTAAAACACATTGCCAACCTAGGCGAGAACGTTATTAGTCTGAGGATTCCACAATACAAGAAATCAGAATTTCCTAAAATAAGATTGCATGTTGTCTATAGTAATTGCCAAAATCTGGTCTCCAGGACTGATCAGAACAAGGTCCTCTCAGATGGCTCTTTGTGTCTTCTCTGTTTTCTCTCCTGGTCCTCCTTTACTGTGTGTTTTTGCTATACAAAGTATCCCTTTATTCATCTGTATTTATCTGCCTAAGGAAACCCACAGCTAGGCAAGCATTTCAAAAAGAAGAAAGAGAACACAACGTTTCGGCCGTGGAGCCTTCTTCAGATTGTGCAGATTGTGTCAATTGAAAATGTCCCTTTTAAAGATTCTGAGGCTAAGTGGCTCTCACCTGCACAGAAAGCACCAGTAGTGGGTATTTTAAGTATTAAATGACGGAGGTTTTGCAGAGACTATGAACTAAGGATACAAGGCGTATAGATCTGACTCCCAGCTGAGGCATCTCAGGCCTGACTAAGGCTGGAAGCTGTAAATACCAATGAATGGAAAAGGTGGAACAAACTCAAACCAGGACACAATAAACCAGTCTGCTCTTACTGCTAACGTTACAGAAAAAAATGGAGAGAGAAATTAGAAGACCTGCAAAATAAAGTCAGTTTAAGAGCTTGCCCACATGGTTTCAGAAATGGAAGGCCATAACTTGTTAGACTTCTTCAAGCAAGCAAAGGAACAAATAAAGGTTTATTCCATGCTGAAAAAGGAAATAAACAACATTTCGGCTGTGGGTGTCGAAACAGCTAACCACCTGAAGAAGGCTCAACGGCCGAAATAATTTCTTTTCTTATTTTTTCAGCATGAAATAAACCTTTACTTGTTCTTTTGCAACCTACGCATGCTGACGCACCTACATTATAGTATATACTGAGCCTCAAAGGAAATATAGCTGTAATTACCACTGTAATAGATTAACAAAATTACAAGAACAATAACCCAAACCATCTCACCTGGACCTTTCCATTGATTGGTCTGTTGTACAAGAGTTAGTGTGGAATTCTGCCTGTCTGCACCATACACACAGATGTCCATCAGGTTGGTTAATGCAAGTCCTTGATTAACTGCCAGAGGACTCCGTTCCACTGCTGGAGAGTCCACTTGAGATGATATCCAACATTCCAATTGCAGGAGGACGACATTGTCTTGGAAACTGAGGCATGTTGGTTAATTTCTTGATTTTAACTAGTCTGGACCAGTCAGCCCAGGTCAGTAAAATGAGGTGATTCTGTGCTTACAAAGCAACATCACTGAGGAAAGGATTGTCATGCATGATTAATCAAAATGATGCCAAAACAGCTAATATAGTCTTTTTATTATTCTGAAAGGATACATTAAGTTGTACATAAATAGAGTGATTGTTTCTTTTAAAACTCAGTATAGATTTCCAGAAAGCTAATCTAAGGTTTAATGATTAACCCTTATAATAGGTTGATTCTCAAATTAAAACCAGTGGAAATCTGTACACATGTAGTTCATGTACCTACATGTTTGGGAGAAAGAACCTAACTTTACCTTTCTACATTCATTCTTTGGGTTTGGGGGGGGGCACTAATTCATTATCTTAATGAGTAAGATGCGTAGAATGGACAACTCCTATTTGCAAACTTTTGGACGTTCTTAGCAGTTTAAAGGCATATTGATCACAAGCAAGAAATGCTTAATGTACGGTATGTGTACAGTAAGTTAATATACACTACATGCAAGTACTATATATTGATATCCGGGAAGCTTTGTCTGCTCTGGTTATGTCAGCCGGGGTTTCATGGTAAATCAAAAGACATCTAAACCCAATTTATATCCCAGAACATTTAGCAAAGATACAATACTTTTTCCAGAAGGAATCAGTACAGTACAATGCTACTGCCACTAGAGGGCTCTGTTATCTTCTAAAAAATGAGAACATGTCTGCATTAGAAACTTGCAGAGATCAGGTTGAAAATGAGGCCTCAGTCTGGATCAGATGATGGAATCTGTATGTTTGCTGCACACAGCTGTAAACGTTCTAACACGGCTGTCATCTATCTCTCCAAACCTGTTGCAAGCACATGGCCAGACCTGCCTTTGAGCTCAGGCTACAGAATGTCAGGGCTACAAAATGTATTTGTATATGAGTCATGAGAAAGGTTGGAAACTAGAGGAGGCCATTTGTGCCTTTATTCCAATTTGCCTTTGTCACCAGTTTAATCTAAAGCTTCTTGAGGGAGACTAGTTTTGGGAATCCTGTTCCAGACACATAACATTTGGGGTAAAGATGTTTTTCATGTTCCCTGTCCGTTTTTGCTTCAGTTTGAGACTCTATGTCCTCTACTGCTTAGAGGATCTTAAATACTTAATATCCTCAGTCTAGAAAAAAACAGGTTGCAGGGAGATATAGTTGTTTCAAGTAGCCCCAGAGACCAGGAATCTCTCTTGTACTGTAGCACTTCTTCGAACTTTCTAGGGCTGTAATATTGTGTTGCACGGTGACCAAAACCAACACCATATAGGCTTTTTTGTGTCATCCTCTGTATTTGCTTTTCAGCTTTGTTTTTATGAATTTTATTTTATTGTGATATATACATCATTTTTATGCATTGTAAAGTGCTATGAGTTGATTCCTTCTAACATTTACATGAATGGATCTAAGATGAACTTTCATCCATCCATCCTCTAAAGCCTTCTTCCAATCCTGTGTCATGAGGGAGCCGGCGCCAATCCCATGCAGAAAGCAAAGTACACCAGGATGGAGCAGGCCCAGTTTTCCCAGAACCCACTGAACTTCCTTAATGTGTCTTTGGACTGTGGGAGGAAACTGGAGCACCCAGAGAGCACCCACATGAACACAGGGAGAACATACAAACTCCACACAGATAGCACCCCAGGTCCAGAATTGAACCCAGGGCCCCAGGACTGTGAGGCAGCAATGCCAACCACTGCGCCAGTCTGCCTCCCTTCATGGGCCTCTGCCTGATAATGCTAGATTGAGGGTGAGAATAGCATGCATGTTTCCACCACAAAACTCCTAAAATAAAAGTCTTTCGTTACAAACGAAACAAACTATTTAGCCCATCTGGCCCACTGGGTAGTCAATAATGATCTAAGGACCTTGTTTCTGTTTCTTCACCGGATCTGCTCTGCAGTGGGGCTGTTAAACAAAACCAGGATATCTGCCTCAACAACATAAACTGGGTACTTGACGCCACACTCCCTTGATGCAAATAATTTTCCCGTTCTCAGTTTTAAATGATGTTCCTTATAATTTCCACTTGTGTCCTCTGATTGGATCACTGTGTTGACAGATTTTAAATACTTCTATCAAGTCCCTTCCTACTCCTTTCTCATCAGAACTGCAAGGACTTGTGGGCCCTGTATCTTACACCTCTTGGTCACAACCCTGTGAGAATCAGAGAGCTCGGTTTTTGCCACCCTCAACACCCTCAATCAAAATTCAGAATCAATTTATCTACCTTTTTCTCTTGTGAAGTAGATGTGCAATAGATTTCGGTGAAGAGAGTGAAAAACATGTCCAGGATGACTTTACTCAACACAGGGACTCCTTTCCCCACTGCAATGCAGCCCCACCTGGGCGACACACCACCCCCAGTCTGCACCAGCAGCCCCACAGCACAAAGGATCAGGTGAAGGGGTGAGAAAGTGCTTCACCTGATGAATAGAGGGAGGACATTAGGGAGAGCAGTGCTGTGAATCCCACAGTAAGTGGTGCCTTTATAAAGCACTTTAGTTGTAGAGCTTTTAGGATGACCATCATATCACTATACATTGCTAGGATGATGATGATGATTATTATTATTGTTGTTGTTGCTGTTGTTATTATTATTACTATTTTTATTATAATGGTTTCTTTATTTAGAAGTGAAATTTAAACTTCATGAAACATTCTTCAGCAGCCATAACGTACCAGCTGAAAACATACTAATTAAGTATAAAAGGAAATGTTTCATATGTGATACCCACTTAATAAGCCCATATGTGATACCTGCATATTACAGTTGGATTCAGCAGGTGTTTGCAAGCATTTCAGTCCAATTAGTGATCAGTCCTGTATGAAGGCAGCAATGTAGTTACAGCCTGCTTCATAAGCTTGCTTCATAAACCTACTTAAAATATACCAAGCTACAGCTGTTACATATTTCAGTCACGCATGAGTGTCTTCCAGACTGCAGTGGTAACAGATGACCAGGCTCATAAGGAATTCACCAAGAGGGGAGTTTCTCGAGCCTGGTTCAGTGCTCTCCAGTGAGGCCACGGCCTACCAAACCGTCAAGCCTTAGGTGGAAGAGAGCTGAGGACGTGTCTGAAAGATGTGTGTGGAACTGACAAGAGGGAGCGGGGCTGCAAGTTGAGTTTGCACTCTTTCATCTGAAAGCAGCACCCTGGTCACTGGTTGGAGGGATTTCTCTTGCTCTCTGCTCCACCCATCCCGAAATCCTGGAACGGCAATAGTACAGCCTGCTGGGAAGTGAGAGCACCCCGAGCCAGAGGCCCAGGCCTTGGCCAAGGCTTTCTTCACACTTTGTAGGTACAGAAATTACTGATTTACCAGGGATTAACCATCAGCTGTTAAAGCTGTTCCAGGCCAATGCACTGTTAATTATCTCTAAAAACCCAACAACATAGCAAAGCAACAGTATCAGACACTTTAGGGCTTGGGTAAACAGTGCAGAAGAAACATTCCTTATAAACACAAAAAAAAAATCAGTGATACAGCATATTGGAGAAATTTGAAGAAGAATCTTCCAGCCAAAATTAACAATACAGGTTTTGGATTGGAAATTTCAAATTCAGAATTGTCTGCAGCTGGATGGCTATCTGCATGGAGTTTGTATGTTCTCCCCTTGTTTGTGTGTGTTTCCTCCCAGAGGCCAAAAATACACTGGTAGGTTTATTAGCTTCTGGGAAAATAGGCCCTGGGGAGAATGTGTCTGTGTGTTTGTGTCTGTGTGTCTGTCCTGCAATGGACTGGATTCTCCTCCGAGATGTATCCTGCCTTGCTGTGCCTGTTGCTTGAATAGGTTGCGTCTCCCGTGACCATGAACTGCAAGAAGAGCTTAGAAACTGGATGGATGGCTACTCACCTAATGGTTACAAAAGAAACACAAAGACGTTTGCAAATTAGAGCAGACTAATTGGTTAACTTGCTTGGTTCTCGGCCAGTTGCACCCACAATTCTAAATGAGAACCCCCTAATGTATTCAGTTTTAAACCTTCAAAATCCTTCAAATTCTTCCCTTTCAACTATGCAGCCTTCCATTCTGTTTGCCTATTTAATTGCTTCCTCACATTGTCTTGAAGATGTAAATGATGTGTCAACATAAACACTTTCTCATAAGTAGCCTCTTCAAGTTCAGCATTTCCCATTTTGTATTTATAGTTTATGTTTTTGCTGCCTGCATGTAACACAACGCTCTTCTCTAAATTAGACATCATCTGCCAAGTATTTACCCAGAACTTGAATTTTAGCTAAATCAATCTGAATTACCTTTTCATCTTTTACTGTTTGTTAATCCGACACACATGCAAAATTCTTCAGAGCTCTCTGTTTTTTTTCTGGAATGCTTTACACTTGAGAACTGAGAATTAATCTTTTCTGGGGAACTTCATAAAAAGCTTCATAAAAAAAAATGTACTGCTTATAGATTTATATAGCACATTGGTATATATATATATGTCATTATAACAGTGAAAAAAACTACAAGGAAACAAACTTATAAGTAAGAAGAGGGGACATTCCTTTACACAAAGGTTGGTGGGAGTATGGAACAGATTGCTCAGACAACTTCCCACCCTGACTTCCTTTGGGATTGTACAAGTCCTTTCACAAGATTCTCCAGACTGACCTGATGGTTGGAGGAGTTGTGTCAATGGCCGGAATGCCATTTGATGTCTCTTTAAGTGGTCGGGAGATGTTTATCTTAAGTGCTACTAGTACCTATAAGATCTCTGCTTCTTCTTTACTGATACCATTCAATATCGAATCTGTCCCCCCTCAGCCTGAGGCAAGTTTTCTGTTTCTTCCTTGATACAACAGCTGAGTGAAATATGAATTTAATACTTCAGCTGTCTCCCTGTCATCATCTAAAAGTCTGGGATAATTTACTTCAGCCTTTACTTTTCATTGGTGTTATAGTATTGAAAAATTAACTTTTATTTATTTCAGTCCTCATTGCAATATGTTTATCTGTCTCCCTGAGTCTTTCTAAAATCAGTTTAACCTGTGCTAGTAAGTTCCAGTTCAGTTCTACTCCTTTTCTCCAGTCGGAATCTGTACTTTTGTCACGTTACTGCTCTCCTTCTCGCGATATGGTTCTTAATGGGTGTATTAATCCAGTTAAACAGCACCTTGCCAGCCTTCTCCTTGTGGTGTATCTTGGCAAAGGCACAGCTGACTGAAGTACTGTGTGTACATTGCCTTACCTTTAGGAACGGGAAAACACCATACACGTTCTAGAACACCATGACCAAACAAACGTGTGAAAAACCACTAAAATAACCTAAACAGTTACTATGCAAAACCCGCAAAAGATATGCTGTCGATTACTGGTTATTTACACAGTAACACTGGTAGGAAGAGCGAGGCGTAATGTGCAAAGTCCAAAAGAGGTTGAACTACATTTCCCACAGTGCTCTTAAATGCATGGTTGACAGCGGGGTCTCTCTACCGGGAACTGTAGTCGTTCTGCTGGTCAGCAGTTAATCCCCAGATTTCAGTTATGCCGAGATAACAAACTACACCTCCCATAACACACTCTGATTTACGACCCTCCGAGTTCCAGTTTCTGCAGCGGAGTCGAAAGAGCTCTTGGCACCTTTGAAAAATATTCACTCACTTCATGAGTAAATAACGTTTTTCTCCGTGTCATGGCGGATAACGCAACCTGTCCCCCATTTCAGCTGGGGAGACCCCGGTATGACCAGGTAAAACCTTTATTCCATCATGCATTTCTCAGTTTGAATTTTATAAATGAAGTACTAAATGCGCGCAGCTCCTTGGGTTAAATGCAGCTAGCAGCCGAATGGCAGTGCTTTTAATAAATCAGCACGGAATATAGGACAAGCTACTTTACGTCTGTGAGAAAAATTGCTTCGATGTGCAATTAATGAACCTAATTTGGTTTCGACGTTTGTTTCGACACATTTTCTGGTCGTCCTCATTGGACGGTGGGCGTGCCAGTAATGCCCACGGCCGTGCCCCGGCCCGGAAAGGAGGGCTGCGATTGGCCGAACCTGCTCGTGCCACAGCGCCCCTTTGTTGCTCGGGCCTCTGCGGCTCGAGCGAGTTTGACAGAGCGGTCCAGATGTTCGGGCAGCGGCGAGCGCTCTTTAAAAACAGTTAATTACACCATTAATGTATCTAAGCGTGGTTGTTTCTTCAGTTTATTTGGGTGTGAAAGGCACTGGTCCTCTAGACAGGGAAGCGAATTTAACAGTTCCAGAAGGTGTGTCACTGTGATGGTCATTTAAGTATTAGGTTTACATAAAATCCTGCAGTGGGCGTCATTTTTCTTTTTCTCACATTTCAAAATTATTCCAGGTGGAGCACATAAGGACTAGTATACTGCAAATGTGACCAGTACTGTGTTTCTGTGTGACAGCTCTCCTTCTCGCGATATGTTTTAAGATCTTCTTGTGAAGCGCTGCACCAGCTGAATTGAGACTTGGTAGGATTCACCGGTTAGCTGCTAAAATTTAACAAATTGGTTGGGATTAATGGCCCTTCTGTTTTACAAACAGTCTCATATTCTAATTTTCAACACCCAGTGCTGTTTGAGGTGTGGACCTCTCGGGTTGCTGTTATAGCTTTCATCATAACATACTGATCCCAAGACCTCATCTAACATTTTCTTGAAATAATCCAGGGAATCAGCTTCATCAGCCTGGCTGGACAGCTTGTTCCGGACCCACATGCCCCATATAGTAAAAAAAAAAAACTTCAGTTCTTGGGTTTAAGTGTGCTTCCACTTATTTTCCAATTGTGGCCCTTAGTTTGTGATTGACTGTTCATTTGGAAGAAGTATGCTGGGCTGACTGGTTTGGTTCCTTCAGCCTGTCAGTGAAGGACACTCCCTGAAACCCCGGAAATTATCTGGTTGCTCTTCTCTAGACTGTTGTCAGAGGAGCAATATCTCTTTTATGACATGGTGACCAAAACTGTACACATGCAGCACTTTGCACTTGTCATCTGGCAGGTGTTTACCCAGTCCTGAGTCTTTCTGAATTTTACTGGATTGGTAACTTTCCACATTAGAGAAATGGGGCCTATAACAAAATCTATTCCTGCTCAATAACTCATTACCACCAGACTTTGTAGACCTGAATCTAGGGACAGTTACCTTATTGTAAGCCTGTACTGAAATCTGTTCCAAATTGTTTGGCCAATTGATACCAAACTTTGTTGCTATCACTCTAGTGTCCATCCACAATATGAGAAAAAACAAATGGATGCCTGACCATTGTTTTGTTTTGAATGTTTGTGTGGTCTTAGCAGCTGCTGAACCGATTGACTTGAAACTAGGAAGCTTTCATCAATACACAACTTCTGATTTACACCTCACAAGCTGCTGTGGTAGTTTTTTACTTTGGCAGTGGCTATACCTCCAGATTTTCCTGTTCAAAAACTGTTTGGGCAGTTAATGCCAGGTTTGGTAGGTATTGTTTATGTGACAATAGGATTAAAATGTAATGACAGGACATTCCTGGAAAAATCAAGATGACTGCTATTTCTTCTGGAAATTGATGCTGCCACTTTTCAGAAATGACTTGGCATCATCAATGACAAAGGAGGTTACCATTTTCAAATGTGGCAAAATAAATAACAAAATACCAGCATCAGAACTATTATGTTATATTTCAGGATCATTGTCAGACAGCTGTTGTAAACATTATTTAGTGAGTTAAATCCAACCTTTATGGGTATTCACCAAGAGAAAATGCAGTGCAATATTATATGATCATTATGTCATTATATGATCATGTATTAACACATAGCATATTATGGCTATCTGACTGCAGCTGGTCAGTAGTGTTACTTTTTCTGGACATTCAGGCTGCCTGTGGTTGAACATCGTATAACCATCAGCTTTCAAAATCAGCTGGTGCCTCCATAAAGGCCAAGATGTGTGGGAGTGAACCCATTCCTCCGGTTCGCAGTGGGACAGAGGTTTCTGATGGGGTAAGATGATGGAATTCGGAACAAAATACAAAATAAAACCACCAATTACTTTCCCCTCTGTGAAAGATCCCCCTTAGATGATAGCATGGCAGGGGGCTTATCACATGAAACCCCCAAACCAAAGCCTAGGTTTGCTTCTGTTGCAGTGGTAATACCCTCACCCAGTCAATTAACTGCCTTCTTTTTATTACTGTCCCAACAAGGAAATCGACCAAGGCTACTACGTATGCTATCTTAGTCATAGGAGTGTATACTCTGAGCTTTTTGTAACTCTCCTCAAGTGTTTTATCTTTCTCAGATTCTTAGTGCTCACTGTTCCTAGTAACCATGATGGTCTTGTGAGACAATCTCTGACTTTTCAGTCAGTGTTTTGAATGGATCTGGTGATTCCAAATGCAACCAGTCCATTGATCTCCTCATGAAAATGCACTTCTCTGAAGGTGGTGACCCCGTCCTCTGGCAACTCAACCCCCTCTCTATCCTTTAGTTCTGCAACCCCCTCCCACCCACATCTCCCGCGCCCCCACAGCTGAATGAACGGTCCACTCTCATAAAAGCTCTTGGACTGAATAGTAATAATCCTTAATAATAATCCTTATACTTATAAAGCACTTCTGGACACTCCACTCATAGCTCTTTACAGGTAATGGGGGCTTTCCCCCACTACCACCAATGTGCAGCATCTACCTGAATGATGCGACGGCAGCTGGAGTGCACACAGTACGCTCACCCACCACCAGCTATCGGGGGGCAGAAGAGCAGAGTACACCTGCAGTAGTGAAAGTTAGCCCTGCAGTAGTGTGTGCCTATACAGCTGCGATCATCAGCTGTGGACGCCCTCTATAGTCAGTGGCAAGCTCGCTCCTTGATTCTGTGCCTGTATCCCAGCTTCTCCATGAACCTCCCCAGCTTCCAACTACAGAGGTATCACAGCTATCGCCCCTGAATATTTAGAATTTGTGTCCTGCAGAAATGCAATAAATACATTAAAAAGTTTTTTTTATAAAAAGACATTCTGTCCTCCCTGCTCATTTGGCTGGTTATTCACTACTACCACTAATAATAAGAATTCCTTGTATTTTTGTCAATAACAATTTCAATCTGAAATGGTTCCAAAACTATTTATGTCATCCTTCTCAGCTGTGACAAGAGCACCACTGAAAAGCAAATTGGATGGCGAAGGGAGAAACTGCTTCACCACTTGAATTAAGAATGGACATTATCCAGCCAGATTGTTCAAGTCCAAAGTGGAATTTAGCACTCTAACTGTTGTGAAAGTTACCATGGGATCTTTAATGACCAAGTAGTCTTTGGCTTCATGTCTCATCCAAAGAATGATAGGCTACGTCCTGTATCCCCAGTGTCCGTACTGGAGGATTAGTTTGGAAATTCTGTCCAGAGACATGAACACCACTTACAGCTGCAACATTAAAGTTCTACCACCTCACCATCTCAAGCCAGGCCCTGCTTAGCTTAGGAGATCTGATGTGATTAGTTATTTGAAATGTTCATCAAGCTGTTTCATAAAGAAGATTATTAAAGTGGCTTCAACAACATGGCCAGAGATATGGAATATTCCAGACCCCTGCAAATGATAGTAGAAAAAAAACGAAGGCACTGCCTCCAGATTTCTGTCCATAATGCTCACCTAAATTTGTTTATTTTGAGCAGAATTCCTTGGATTTCTTTCTCTCTCTTTTTGAATTTTAATTAGTTCCTTTGCAAAAAAAAGTTTTCTAAAGAGAGAAATGTAAATTTAGTTCTTTTAACTAAAATACACCCAAATTATATTTTTATTTCATCGCTGTAGAAAACGAGAAAGATTTGGATGTAATTAGAAATAAACATCTCAACTCTTTCATTCTAAATTGTCCCTTATGTTCAACACGATGATGGAGAGTTTATAGGGGCTCATCTGCTGAAAAAATATGTTTAATTGAAGTAAAAAAAAAAAACAACTTTTTCCTTAAGTGTTTTAATTTGAGTTTTATTACTGATAAGTGGTCTGGAAACATCTGTCAGATGATGTTAATAAAGTGTTACCACCTGGCTGAGCACACCGGTGGTGACCCCTCTGTCACGTCTGCCTCTGCTAACAGCTGCTGTCCTTGTTGTGCATGAAGTTTGGATAAAAAGTTAGACAGTTTAAAACATCTGGCAGGTCACAGGCATCAGGAAGAGAATTAAAATTCAATTAAAGAGAAAATGGAAAAAAATGTTTAACGAAGTGTTAATTAAAGTAAAAAAAAAACATACACGAAGAGAAAACAGAATGACAGTTAACCCTCAGCACTCAATTATTAATGTCCAATTCATAGTGATTTTAGCAAAATAACGTCTGTCATCCATATCTTTGTCTTTGGTTTGTGCTGCTGTTTGTATTTGGATAGGTGTTATTGGTACAATACAATGAGTGATTTCTACTGATTGTGGTTTTTCTGCTGTTGCAGCAGTTATGTATATAAATGAGAATTAGACAGTTATATTTGTCAAAGGCATCAGTAAACAATAAAGGTGTTGGTGCAGAGGTGCCAGAACATCCTTTTGTGTATTAATGCATTGTAGAATCTCCTTAACCAATGTATAAGATGCTAGAATTGAAATGGATACCTGTTTGGTGTTTAAACATTAATTTTTATATATATACAGTGCAGATTCTTTGAACATTTTTAATATTAGTTGCTTTAAAGTTTGCAGGTACAACATTTTAAGTAGCAATATCTGTTTTACAAATAGCCTTCTCCCCACATTAAAAAGCAAAGCCAAAACAAAATAAATAAATTAAAAATGGAAAAGTCATGATTGCATAACTGTTCAAACTTTTAGTTCAATTACTTAAAGTTACCTTAATGAGGCACACAATTATTGCACACAAAAATAAGTAAAAATGTGTTGATCGTGAAAGTATTTTCCTGGAAAATTGATTGCTATGGTAAAACTTAATTGGTCTGCATGCACCAAAGTACTGTAACAAGTCACACAATCAGTTGCATGGCCTCTGTGTGCAGTAATAGTGGTTCAGATGGTGTCAGAAAAAATACACCTGTCTCTGTAAGAGCTCTCAGTCAGGTAGTGAATTTCAAGCAACGACTCGTGAAGACCAAGGAGCTTTCAGAAGATTAGGGTATATTTGTATGAAGGCTCAGATCTGGAGAAGAGTATGAGAACTCTCTTCTTTGAAGTTTATTTAACTGATTTCACCTATAAAAGTGTTGAATTTGACTTGATTAAAAATGTGTTTACATTCTTGGAAGGGGCTGTTTCTGAAGAATTAATCCCAGTCATTGCTGATTGAGCCTGTTCCCAGATCTGAACCTGGCGAGACTTCCTCTGCTGCTCAGAGGAGGGTGAGCAAGGGAGACAGCTTCTCCATTTCCATCCGGAGGCCGCTGTGCGCGGTGCAGGGCTCTGACAGGATTGTGCTTTCGTTGCAGAGCTCCTTCTACGGCAGACTGAGACACTATCTGGACATCGTTGATCCTCGGACTCTCTTGGTGTCAGAGGTACGGTACCGTCAAACTGCCCAGAGTGAGACTGTGGGCCCCCTTGTTGTCTGATGTCCCTGAAAGAGCACGGCTGCTGATTGCACAAGTAATGTGCTCCTCCTCTGGAGAGCTATGTTCCAACAATGCCAACTGGGCAAAGAAAAGCATACCCCTATCTGGTAGGACATTAAAGGGCAACTGCAGTCCCAGTTTCTCAGATAATTCATTAAATCTCAGTAACAAAGTTACAAAGTTAATTCATTGATGTTATAGAACATTTTTACAACTTTCAAATTAAGCATGAAATCATGAACTTTGTGAAAGTGCTGTAAGTTGTCATGTTGTTGCAAACTTGCATTCGAGCTCCCACAAATTGCTACATGAAGCGGCCCATTATACTATATCAGTTGGGTAGTGGCGTCAGCATGCGTAGGCTGCAAAGGAACAAGTAATAGGTTTATTCCATGCTGGAAAGTGAAGAAAGAAAACACAACGTTTCAGCCGTGGAGCCTTCTTCAGGTGTGAGAAAGACAGGGCAGTGATTATATTACATGGCTTATATAATGTACGGGCGAATAAGTACAGGTAATGCAGCAGACATTTCACCGCAGAAATGTTTCAACATGATCTGCATGCAGCGTTAACAAGTTAAAAGTATTTGCTGGCAAAAACATCTCAAAGTCGAAAGCAATACTTCTGTTGGATTAAAAGAGAAGTATTCACAAGCCTACTTCTTTGCGAAGTACTAAGGACGCTTCACATCACTGGACATTTTGTTGCCCCGTTCTGAATAGCAGAACATGGCACTGCTCATACCTAGAAATTGTCTATTTTCTAATGTAAATTGCAGGTTTAACAAGTTACTATGTACATTTGACTTGTATTGTAGTTTGAAATGTACTTATCAATGCTGATGAGAAATAGCATTGCAGTTCCCCTATAGAATCCATTTTCTATAAGAAATATATAATTCCATGATTCTGACTTTGAGACACTGCGAAGGCAGTGTCACCACATAATATTATTCTTATTAGTGAATAGTTTGTTTGGTTGGTTATTCAAAGTAGCTTACATGTGTACAGCTGGGCGCTGTGCTGGAGCTATCTGAGTTAAGAATCTTGTTCAAGCATGCATTTGAACCCACAGCCTAACGTCTCCTCCACCCTGCTGCTTCTTCACGAGGAGGAATTGCAGTTGATTGCAGCTCAGGTTTAAAATACCTGCCGAGGAGGTGTTTGCACCGGAGCTGTTTGCTGTGTGAACGGAAGGATGTGGCTCGCGGAGAGAAAGAGAGCTTAGCGCACCGGAGCGCTGCGGTGTGGAAGTATTCCCCAGCCGCTGGGGTGCAAGCTGGGATCGGGGATGTAAAGAATTGACAACAGGCGCAGTAAGAGCCAGGAGCCTGGAAATAGTACCAGGCTTCATGGACTTCCCTGTAACAATGCTCAGAGCCAGTCAAAGTCTCTTTTCAACAATTTCCTTTAATGCAGGAAAAAAATCAATGAAAAGAGAAAGGAAGCACAATGGTTTGGCTGTGGAGCCTTCTTCAGAACAAGACCTGAAGAAGGCTCCGCAGCCAAAACGTTGTTCCTCTTCTTGTCTTTTGAGCATAATAATAATTATAATAATAATAATAATAAACTTTATTTTATATAGCACCTTTAAAGGTGGCTTCTCAAAGCACTTTACAGGATGACAATAACAATAAATAAAAGGAATACACAAGATAAAACACAATTACAATATACAGAGGAGACATGGATGGTGGTACTAAGAAAAGCAGAGGGGTGAAGAATGGAACCAGTTAAGTAAAGGCTTTTCTGAAGAAGAGGGTTCTGAGTCTGGATCTGAAGGAGTTTAGAGAAGGTGACTCTCTGATGTCCTTGGTGAGAGAGTTCCAGAGCTTGGAGGCATAACAGGAAAAGGCCCTGTCACCCATACAATGTAGACGGGCTTGGGGGACAGTAAGGAGAGCAGAATTAGAAGAGCGAAGGTTGCGAGGTGGGGAGTAGGGCGATAATAGTTCAGACAGGTACTGAGGTGCCAAGCCATGCAGAGCCTTATAGGTGAGCATGAGGATTTTAAAGTCTACACGGAATTTGACCGGAAGCCAGTGCAAGGACTCC